GTAATTATTTTAATCCCTAGTATATATGTAGGATTTGCTTACTACTTTTCCCTTGATCATAGCATGAAGTAGATTTGTGCCGAAAAGAATGTCCATTTGTAATCAAGCCAAAGATCCAGAGACCCAGTACTACACAAGAAGGAGAGGAAATGGAAACTGATATGGATGGTAAGTAATAGTTACTAAGTCAATATTTTTTGTGCTTGATGTTTTCCTGTCATCAACCCCAATTTTCATTCTTCTCATAAATTGTAAAGTGTACAACCGACTTGAGTATATATTTTCAACAACAGAACAATTTTTTTTTAAAGATTTTTATTGGGGGAATTGGGGGAATGGGAACAGTGCTGGGGAATTGGGGAAAGGGGAACAGACAAGTTGCTGTCATCTTGTTCTTCAATCTAGTTGTGGAGGATGTTGCTTCACTGGCCCAAGTTGGCACCATCATTGTGCTCTTCTCTGGCGAGGCAGATCAGTCGCCGCTTCTGGACGGCCGCTCACTGCGGCTGCTGGCCGCTCACGCTGGCTGCTGGCTACATACGGTAGCCCATGGCAACCCACTGCCACAGGGACTGCAGCCTACGCCGTCGCTGGCGACTCATGGCAGCCCAGCTCCAGGTTGAGCTGTTGTTCAGCATCTTAGCTGTGGAGGGCAGTGTCACTGGCCCTCATATGTGGGATCCGAACCGGGGCCCTCTGGCGTCCCAAGCGAGTTCTTAACCATCGCGCCACTCGGCTGGCCCAACAGAACAATTTTTTAATGCATAAATGATTTGTGCTTTGTTTTTCATGAGGATAATTAGAAAAGGGAGGTATTAAGTTGTTGGGAACAGAGGTGGAAGGTGAAGCAGATGGTAGGCTGCTGTAGAGCCTTGTAATCATTCTATGATAACCTGTTTTATTTCAAGACTTAATAGCTGTTTTCTTAAGTATTGGTTCATTATCTTCTGATTCCCACTAAAGTGTAAGCTCCATGAGATCTGGATACTGTTTTGTTCACTGCTGTATCTCCAGCAGCACCTGATATATAGTGTAGGTGTTTAAATATGTGTTTGGGAAAGTTAAGTACAATGTAGACTCTAAAATGGGACTTTCTGAAACTATCTGGCTATTTTGAGAAGGGAGAGAGGTAAAAAAGTTGTTGGGTAGGGAACAACCTTTTAAGTCATTAAATGAAGAAAGAAAACCAGATATTCTTAATCTTTGGCTGCATCATGTATATCCTTTTTTTTTTAACCTCCCTGCCCCCACTTGCATAGTTCATAATCATAGTACCAAAAATAATAAAAACTGTTCCCCAAAACAGCTTTCTTAGAATTTAAATTAATCTTACCTTGATGACCCTTGTAGTCATTACGTGTATCTGTTATACTTATGGTAAAAGTATTAGAACTTATAATGCTTCCATTTTTTACACTAAACATCCGTAGGTTGCCATTCCTTTTTTTTTCTGAACAATATCTATGTGCATTACTATTCCCAAAAGCCCCTTTACCCAATTTCTATCTGTAGTCTATCTATTGTTGGGCAAGCTGGTATTTGAGTTAATGGGTGAGATCCTGGAATGTTGATTAAAATGTGTTATCTACTAAATGGTGTGATGTAGAAGACTAAAGAATCACTGTTCATTATAAATCAGTGGTTGTCTTTACTAATCATTGGAATAAATTAAAGTACTTGCTAAAGATTTAAACCTGGTCTGCAGTGCTTATTAATTCATTAAATTTGCAAGTGAAAACAGGAAATCTTCATTTTTAATCAATCCAGGTAATTCTGATGGACTCATAGAGAAAATTTTATGTTTCTATGTTTATAAAAAGCAGGTTACAAAATCATGAGTTTGTGATTCCCGTCTATAAGTAGGCACTAGTATGTACGAGGTGTGATCGAAAAATATGGTGAATGCTTAAATTAAAAAATGTATTACAGTAAAAGACACATTGCCATTAATCTCCCTCACTTTGAACACACTTAGCCCATCATTCTTGCGACCTTCTGAAGCAGTTTTGGTAGGCCTCTTTCTTGAGTGTCTTTATCCTCCATCATGACACTGTTGCATGGCACACATTGCTTCTGGTACAGCAATTTCTGTCAAAAACATTCCGGTGTGTCCTCATCCACCTTATTCACCAGATCTGGCACCCTGTGACTTCTGGCTCTTCCCCAAAGTCAAAAATGACCATGAAAGGGAAACATTTTGAATCCTTTCAGGACGTCGAGGCAACCAGGACAGTGCAACTAAAGATACTCACAAAAGAGGACTTCCAGAACTGCTTTAGAAAGTGGCAAGAACAATGGGTTAAGTGTGTTTGAAGTGATTGCGGGGGAGGGTATTAATGACCATGTATCTTTTACTGTAAATTTTTAAAATTTAAACATTCACCATATTTTTTGATCCAACCTCATATATCTCTATAGGTATAAAAAAGATTAGAAGAAAGTATTTCAGAATGTAAATAGTGGTCTATCACTAATGAAGCTTTATTTTTTTTATAAATTGTACAAAGTAATTGTGTATTTTGTAGTATATTAATTAAAATTCTCTTCCAGCGTATAAAATAAAAATAAATGCTCTCCCTATCCACCATAGCTACTATTTTGTTGTAGTTTTTTCCTGTCTTTTTTATGCATATTCAGGTACATGTTGACAGAAGTACATAATATTTAAAACAGGAAGATGAGATCCTTAACATTGTTCATTCAATGTATCATAGACATCCTGCCATATCAGTATATCTAGTATTAATGTCTTAATGCTTTTTATATTAAGTTACTCTCCCAACAAGCTCTACCTAATATTAATATCTCTCTACTACCCACCAGTAGTATATTAAATTGCATGATTTACTTACTACCTTTTTTCCTCCCAAATTTGGTGGTTGAGAAATATTAAAGCACTTCTTTTCTATGATTGTTTTCTAATTTTCATGTCTTGAATAACCAGTATTGTTAAGTACCTTTCTGTTTGTGGAAAGTTCACATTTTAATTTTGGGTTTCAATATCCTAATCCTTCTCCATTTTGATATCATTCATCTCACCTTAATGGAAAACATTTTCTCAATCTTTCTTTTGGTGGTAGCTCCTATTCTAATGAGTTTCTTTATCACAACTTGTACTTAGTGGCAGATGTGACTATGGAAAGTAGTCCGGGATCATCCATCTCTGTGGAGCACCGGCTGGATGTTGAAATAAGGGCATCAGGTTCCAGCAGCAGCACTAGCATCTGCCCTGGCCCTGGCCCTGGCCCCCGCCCTGGTGAGTAGACACATGGATGCAGTCTTTCCCACTGACTGAATAACTAGTGAAGAAGGGTGCTTTGGGGGGAGCGTAAGTGGTACATGGGAAGGCTTGCTGCTTATGAGTGTGCATGTTACTTTGCCATTCTCATGTCTGTTTTCTCCTATTAACATTTATTTCAGCATTTTACAGTTTTCTGACTATTGTACTTTGATTATTTTATCAAAACAGCCACGTTAGAGGGCATTCAATACCTGAAACGAACTGAGGATCAGAGAGTTAGTCTTTTTACTTTGTTTTGGGTTTTTTTTTGGTTTTTTACTTTAGGCTTTTAACTTTAGTATTAGTTTTGTGCAGTCCTTGGTGATTTGTTTTTCCAATGTTAAAGCTTAGGTAAGTCTTCTTCCCAGCATCCAGAGATCTCATTTCAGATGTCTGCTAGTGTTATTATAGTATCTATGGGTCTCTTAAAAGTTTGTTTTATGTGATGCTCACTGTCATCTAATGAAGAACCCAGTGTAATCTATCTTTCTCCCTTGCCAGGAGTCCAGTGTATTCCGCAACGAGCAGCACTTCTCAAATCTATGTTGAATTTCCTCAAGAAGGCCATTCAAGACCCAGCTTTCTCTGATGGCATACGGCATGGTATTTGATGCTAGATACCTTCTTGAAGGATGATTGACTCTTCCAAAGATTGGTCCTTTTCATACTTTCTGAAGCTACTCTTCTTTTATAAGGCAGGCTTAAGAAAAGGCCATGCCATTTTGAATAGTTTTTAGTCATTTAGTAGTGCTACTTTCCCTAAACCTACGGATCGTTCAGCAACTTTCATAGTTATTCCTTTTATGCATTTTTCCTTTTCCACCTTTCACCCTGTGCTTCCAACTTGCTGCCCCACTCTTGTCTCTCTGTGTCTATGTCCTTTTATTCTTTGGCTCACTGTCAAAAGGTTATTGCATGGATAAGGAATAAATAATAGAATATGAGGAGGAGAGACAAATAGAGGCTGTTAGATTGAAATCAACACAGACTTTGTTTACCACAGTGTGGTATATGTAATATATTGCTCCATCATCCCCACCCATCAAGCTATCCCTGGACTGATCATATTCTCTTTAATGTCCACCTTTCTCTTAGTGATGGATGGTTCTCTGCCTACCTCCCTGAAACACATCATCAGCAATGCAGAATACTATGGCCCATCACTTTTCCTCCTAGGTAAGTGGAGTTGATATTTGGTTATAGGAAGCTGGAATAACCTGGCAGAGTTGTCTGTATGTTTTCTATCCTTGCAAGATTTTACTATCCACATTTATCCACTGTGATTATGTGTCTTTTAGTTGGTGATGAACTATACAAAGGTCAGAATTCAGTTTTAAATATCCATTTCTTAAATGCCAAATGTACCTTCCATAAGCAGTGTATTGTGAATCATTTGTAATAAGTAGTAGTACTGTACATTTGGCTTTTTGTGCTACACTTACACTGCAAGTTTGATAAGAAATCTGCCTTTATTCAATGGTTAGTCCTCATCCTTGATCTGGAAAATCCAATCCATTGGTTTCTATTCTCAGAATTGAATGTCAGACCTGCAGGCTATAGTATAGAAAATAGTTTCTTACTGTAGAAAATGCAGTTTTGGAAGGTGTGGGTACTTCGTAGTTGTTTTTAGAACATGTATTTGCAATTTGACACTGGCACTACTTTGAGTACTGCTGCTGTTAAAACCTCATTTTTATTAACTGGCACTTAATACAATGCCCTACATATTCAGGACAATAACATGAGATTTATAGGCTTTTAGAATTTTCCTATCAAACTGTAAAGCAATTTAGTGGGAGGTGTAGAAGTAGAGAAATCTCCTTGTACCCATAGCAGGCTTTTTTTTTTAAATACTTTGGGGTGTCTGGAAGTAGCAATTTTGGTTACTACAACTTAGATACTTCTTGCTGAAACAGTTTAGGGTTTTTGTATATTAACTGTATCTTGTGACTGTGCTGAATTCATTTAATAGGTCATAATTGTTTTGTTGATTTCTTAAGATATTCTACATAGTCTTGTCATCTACAAATAGACTGTTTTGCTTTTTTCCTGATAATCTTTATGCTTTTTCTTTTTTAGCTTTTTATTTTTTTAATTAAATTTATTGGGGTTAATAAATGGTTAGTAAAATTACATAGGTTTCGAGTGTGCATTTCTGTAATACATCATGTATATATCGCATTGTGTGCTCATCACCCAGTCAGTTCTCTTTTCATCACCATATATTTGACCCCCTTTACCCTCTTCTACCATCCCCCTTCCCCCTTACCCTTTGGTAACCACTAAACTGTTGTCTGTATCTATGAGTTTTTGTTTCTTTGTTTGTCATGTTCCTTTGTTGCTTTCAGTTTTATATTCCACATATGAGTATCAGTGAAGTCATAATTATGGCTCTCAACTTTTTCTGTCTGACGTATTTCGCTTAGCATGATAATCTCAAGATCCATCCATGTTGTAGCAAATGGCACTATTTCATCTTATGGCTGAGCAATATTGCACTATAGAGTAAAATTTCACTGTGTGTGTGTGTGTGTCTGTCTGTCTGTCTGTCTGTCTTGTCTGTCTGTCACGTCTTCTTTATCCAGTCATCTATCGTAGGACACTTGGGTTCCAGTTTCCATGTGCAATGAACATCGGAGTACATATATCTTTACGGATAAATGTTTTCAGATTTTTTGGGTAGGTACCCAGGAAAGGGATTGCTGGGTCATATGGTAATTCTATTCATAATTTTTTGAGAGACCTCCATACTGTTTCCATAGTGGCTGCACCAATGTACATTCCCACCAACAGTGTATGAGGATTCCTTTTTCTCCACAGCCTCTTCTACACTTGTCATTATTTGTGTTGATGATAGCCATTCTAAACGGTGTGAGGTGATACCCCTTTGTGGTTTTGATTTGCATTTAAGCTTTTTGTTTCTTTTGTTGTATTACTTAGGAACTGGCAGTGATTTCTGATACAATGCTAAATAGAAGTGGTGAGGATGGGTCTCTTTGCTTTGTACCTGAACTCAAAGGAAAAAGCATTTAGTATTTCACCATTAAATTTGAAGTTAGCAGAAGGTTTTGTGTTGAAGATTTTGTTCCTCTTTTTCAGCTTGAGGAAGTATTCCCTTGTATTAAAGCAACTTCACTTTGATGTGGATAGACTCCCTCCCAAGGTTAGGTTCAGATAGCAAAACTCACGACAGTAGTCCTTTGGTATGATCAAAGAAAGATTTGTTACAGAAGTGAAGTCCCATGTCAAGGGGCAGGGAAGGATGACTTTGTCTGGGTGAAAGCCCCTAACAGAGAGAGAAAAGCAAGTACACAGGTGTATTTTTAAAAGGGGAAGATAAAAAGCAGCAGCAGGAGGACACACGTGCTTGTGGGTTAGGGATGGAGAGCAGGTGAGCCCTCTCAGGATGATGCAGGAAATAGAAAATGAGACTTAGAGCACTAACACAAATGTCCATGGAGGTCAGAACTCTTTTTCTAGAGTCTTAACTCATCCCTGACATTTGAACTGGCATAACAACCTCCCAAGTGTCCTATTGAAGATCTTATACTTTAGAGCAACCAAATTTGCAAAGCCAACCCAAAGTAATTAGGCCAGCAATTAACTATTTAGCTCCACAAATACTAGTGTAGAGCCTTTCACCCCAGGCAGAAGGATATGGCCAGGAAGATAAGTTAATGAGGGTCTGAGAATCTCTTTGGAGTAATTTAGTAATATAGTTAGCTGTTTTGGTTTGTTGTTTTATTTATTGAATTATTCTGGATACCTTTCCTATATTGACCCACACTCAGTAGGAGGTCCCCTTTAAGGCACAAGCTCAACCTTGAGATACTAGTAGCTAGTGTATTGCCAATCCGTTATTAATTATTATAGCAACTAAACTGCTTTGTCCCTCATTAAGGGCTTCTAAGGCTTGAACTACAGTAATACCTTGGTTTGCAAGCATAATTCATTCCAGAAACAAGTATTGCAAGATATCGCTCGTTTACCACATTAAAATATATTAGAAATGTTTGCTCGTCTTGCGGGACACTTCGCAAACCAAGTCAGTTGCAATCCAAGGTTTTACTATATTTGGTTTATGTGGTTGGCCACAAGTTGTGCCATTGTCTGGGTAGCCTCTACAAGATAAGTCTGTGTTAGAGAACTGAAAATACCTAAACTTGTGCCTATTATACAAGAGATGGACATGAGGCCCAGTATAAAAGGTAAAAAAGATGGTCCCATGCTCCCTTCTATGGTAAGACTTAATATAAGAGTTAGTCTTTCTAGTTGGATCTCAGGTGCCCTGTGTGCTAAAGTTCTGTAGGAAACAGGTCAGGGTGTGGGGGTTAGAAGGGAGCAGTTGGTGGAGTAGAGTGTATGACCTTGCAGAGCAGAAATTGTGTCACAGAAGGTGACACAAGGAGTTTGGAGGGTAGAGTTTCTCCTACCTAGATTATACCAGGACAGACATGTGAGGGCAAAATAGTCTTAACAGGGGGCATCATAATACAGACTCTCAATTGGTGGGTGAGACGAGAAAGGGCATGAAGGGGAAGTCAGGAAGGAAGCACCTGGTGAGGTTGTGATATCCTGCTGCAATAATTCCATGCTTAAATCCACTGAATAAAGATTCTGATTCCTCCGCAATCCTACCCCTGGCTCTTCTACCCCAATTTTATACCCACTGTATTCCCTTTAACTTCCCAACTTCCTTTTCTTCTTTCTTATCTCCCGTCTTAACCCTGCCATGTTTTTACTCCATTCAAAACTGCTTTTGCTCTGGTCTAACCCAGCAGATGCTAACACCATCAGGGCAATTGTGGACCACTTAACTTAGAGTGTGGCAAGTAGTCATTATGAATATTGAACACCCCCAAGGGGGCAAGTTATTTGTATAAGTGGTTGCCTGAGCTAGGGTACCTTGTAACACTGCTGTAGGTTTGGCGCTCAGGTGACATTTTCTGTTACTATTATATACATTTTGTCCATCAGGTTAGGGAAGATGAAAAATGTGGGTAGTGATGGTCGAATAATGGAGAGTGAAGTGAGGGACTGTCAGATGATGGGAAATCAGCTGATGGGGCCATGGAGTTGTGGTGATTGATATGGCAGCCATTATAGAGGCAGTCAGCATTGAGGCTGGGGCTGTCAATTGTGCTGAAATCATCACTGAGGATGCTGGGTTGATGGGAGTCCTGGCCTAGCCCGAAAACTTTAATGGGAAATTTTATGTATTTCAGAAATAATTATAAAAGTAACTGAAGATCAGTATTCCTTTGTCTCTAGGAGTTATAGAGTAATTTCTTATGGGGAAACTACAATAGAATGATTGAATACCCCCAAATTAGTGAGGTCACAGCATGGGCGAAAAGGAGCCCAAGGGGTTTGGCATTGAGTTGGAAGGGTTCAGTCCCGGACCCAGGCCATGAGCTAAAGGAGGCATTGCCAGGCCAACCAGAGCCAGAATGTTCCATAATATTTTCAGACCTGTGGTCTATAGGCCATATCGTGGTGGAGGTGCCTGTTTGTTAAGGGAGTCTCAGGCATTGTTATCCCAGATCCTGTAGTGGCTTCCCGTTCAAAATCTCTCTAATAGGGTGGATCTAGAACTAGCATCCTATTTAAGAACGTTGGTACTGAGAACTAATTTAAGATCTTCCTTTCTCTTTGAAAGAACCATAAAGTTGTAGACTTGGGACCAGGAAGGCACCAAGACCTCCATTTCCTGCAAAAAGGGACCTGCAATTAACGAACCTTTAAAAGTATCATATTGAGAAAGGACTTTGGTAGAGAACTTTCTTGTGGCATACAGAATAGTCTTTTCTGGAGGGCAAGGGCCCTCATTTTGGGATTCCATTCTATTACACACTATTGATACAGGAGCCCGTTTAGCATACATTGCAACAGAATAAAAAAGATGCGTCTCCACTTCATGGACAGTATAGAGCAGCGGTTCTCAACCTGTGGGTCGCGACCCCTTTGGGGGTCAAATGACCCTTTCACAGGGGTCGCTGGGTACTCATATGTGTGCATATCTGCATGTGGGCCTGGAGACGGATAGAGGAATGGTGTCTCGGTTCCTAAGACCATTGAAAATACATGTTTTCCGATGGTCTTAGACGACCCATGTGAAAGGTTGAGAACCGCTGGTATAGAGGCTTGATCACTGCACTGTACACCTGAAGCTGATGTTGTATAATATTGTATGTCAACTATAATTGAATATATATATTGTCACGGGATGTGGAGTATTATAGTGTGGGAGTGGAATCAATGGAATTGTAATAGATATGTATGATATTGGGGTGGGGGGAGTGGGGCAGTGAATTGGGGGAGAGGGGTTGCCACTTTGAGGGGTAAAATTTATGACTATTACGCTGTGTTGTGCACCTGAAACTAATTGAAAAAAAAAACTATAGCTCTTTTATAAAAGAATAAGAATTTTTTTTATACCTTCTTCAAGAAATCTATAGTCAAATAGTTGAGTAAAATATGTTATTCATTAGAGACAGTAACTTCTCCCTTTTTTATTCTATCGTTGGATACATTCTACTCCAAATTTTTTTACAATAGCTGTATGGACGGTCACATGTGAAGTCATTAGTATTTTGTATTTTAAAATAGTTTCCTTCTTCAGGCAGGGAAGATAGTAATATTCAGCCTTGATTTGCATTTAAAAATCTTAACATTAAGACATACAAAGTATGTACTAATGCAAAAGTGAGTTTGGGTGTTCACAGGGTTTCTCCTATCTCCATATCTCATACAGACATTAACTATTTTTAAAGAGTA